TTTTTCTTTTGAGATGGAGTCTTGCTTTGTTGCCAGGCTGGAGTGCAATGGCATGATCTCAGCTCACTGCAACCTCCACCTCCTGGGTTCAAGCATTTCTCCTGCCTCAGTCTCTCGAGTATCTGGCACTACAGTGTGCGTCACCCTGCCCAGCTAATTTTTGTATTTTTAGTAGAGACAGGGTTTCACCATGTTTGCCAGGATGGTCTTGATCTCCTGACCTCAAGTGATCTTGCCTTGACCTCCCAAAATGCTGGGATTATAAGTGTGAGCCATTGCACCCAGCCACATATGATAAGGTTTTAATGAGGTAGTTCAAGGTGCTATAAATGGAACTACAAAATCTTAACAAAATTCTAAACTTGTAAAGTACTATACAACATGAAGAATAGTAAGTTACTGTTAATGCAACTATAGTTTTCTATGTAGGAAGATACCTGGAGGACTAGAAGAGTCAATAAAACTAAATAGTAAAAAATGTTGTTTGATAATCAAGCACTATTATGAACTTATCTTTTAAATGTTAATGAAAATATTTGTAAAACACAGAAATTAATATAAAGGATATAGGTTAAATATATGTGTATATATGTAAATTGAATAATGTTTCATTGACAGATTTACTTTTGCAATTTTGAAAAGAATCTAATGAAGGCAAAGAATGAATTTTCCTTTGTTAAAAAATTATAATTTTAATACATCCGAATCAGCTATCCTATGATCCAGTGTAAGATGGGCTTAAAGCATTTTAATCTCAAGACTTTGCCTAGAAAGTAACCTTTTCTTGGCATTTTAATAAAAATTACATGCTTTTTAGATTAATAATTTTAAAAAGGCTTTGCTATTATGTGTTATATCTTCATAAACATTCCTGTTCTATAACCATATCAAATATATTTGGGTAAAGATAATATTTGTAGTAAAAAAATGACTATAATGATAGTTTGGAAATATTTAAGTTATGTATACCATATATAATTGATATTAAAATCTGGGGTCTGTTGATCTTTGAAGCAGAAAGGTCACAGAATTCAAACCATGAAATTCTGGGAGGTAAAGTTTCTACAATTTTGTTCCTATTTCTAGTGATGTTTGCTATGCAGATTCTATTTTTCAGTCCCTAACACAAGAGAAATGTATCCAGATGTTAGTATTATGTGGTTTCTTTTCTTTCTGATATAGGAATTCTTAGGAATTGAAAAGCTCAGAAGGGGTGTGTTTTATTGAAATGCGTTATTCCATTTTACAAGTTAGTTTTGTTATGCACATTGTCTTTGGAGGAGGCCAGGAGAATAGATCTAACTTACTTTCTTTTTTTTTTTT